TATGGATAAGGACAGTAGGGGGGTAAGGGCAGAGGGTGGGGTGAGAACTGGGTGGAGGGGAGCTATGGGGGGGGGGAGAGGAACAACTGTAATAATCTGAACAATAAAGATTTATTTTTTTAAAAAAGTGAAACGTGGGGATGGTAGTGTTGAAAGCCCGAGGAGATAGGCATACAGGGCATGACTGAGACCAAACTTACTGCATCCAAATTCTTATTTGTCCACACAGGCCACCGACACTATGTGCACATTTCCATTTTTTGCTTCTGTCCAAATCTTTTCCCATAATTACATCAAACATCTTCAATTAACTATATTTTTATTGATTTCAGAGAGAAAGGGAGAGGAATTAAGAGACAGAAACATCAATGATGAGAGGGAATCATTGATGAGTTGCCTCCTGCATGACCCGCAATGGGGATTGAGCCCACACCCCGGGCCTGTGCCCTGACTGGGAATGGAACAATGTCCTCCTATGTCATAGATCAATGATCAACCACTGAGCCATGTGGTTCTGCCTATATCAACCATCTTAGAATATTATGGATTTATGAATTTATGAGGAGATAACTGTTAAACTCTCAGTGAATTGAATAATGATGAGGTGGGTGAGCAGGGACCAGCTGTGATACAGGAAGAGATGAGAACTCAGAGGATGCTCATCAGAGCACGTGGACAGTGAACACAGATGACATCCAATGAAATAATTTGGCTCATGTTGGCAAACTTTTCATATTACTATTAATTCTGTTGTTAATTCTATAGCAGAATCCAGAACTTCTGGAGATACCTTCTAGAATTAATGCAGTTTTATAGTTCTACCATGGATACTCTGAACTAAAGGTATTCATCAGCCTTAGAAGAAAATGAAATACACTATACTTGTGCATTCTGGGGAATGGGACCAATTTCCTCCTGAACATTCTATGTATGCAGGTCCACGGATCCGAAATCCAGGTTTACAGGTGTATGTATATCTTTCCCCATGTGGATAACTGTTTATCCTGTCAGGAAGAACAGCATTGGAAACCTCAGGGGGTCGTCCACAAGGAAGTCCTAAAAAAAAAAAAAAAAAAAAAGAAAGGAAAGAAAGAATGACTGTGTATTTCACAAACGGAACTTTACTTCATGTCCTGGCTGCCATATTTGGTACTTTCATTTAAAAGAAAATGATCACACAGGTGCTAATATCACATGACAGGAAAGGTGCACAAATGCTTGACAGACCACCATGGTGGTGTGTCCAGCTGTCAGCCTGAGCAAGAACTTGAAGCGAAAACTGTGAACACATTTGAGATTAGCGTGTTAATGCTTCTCTAACGAATTAAGAGCAATAAAAAGAAACACATTGAGAATCATCCCAAGAAAAGTATCCTCTACTGTAAGAGATCAGAATAGACAATGGAGAGAGGACATAAATCTTTATAAAACCTGGCGACAAAGCCTTCATTGCAACCCATATGAATATGTAGGAATATGAACAGGTAGGTACACTGATATGAAGAGTTAAGTTTCATTTCACCACATTTCAGGTTTTGTAGAGAAACATGCCCGAATCACAAGTGATATCATAATGAGCAAATAAAATTCATAAAAATAGGCTTGATTTGTTTATGCAAAAATAATTTGGTAAATATTAAAATCTATATAAACGACATATAATGGTTTTATACATTTATAAATCAAGAGTTATTTCTCATGGCTTTGATGATGACGATGGGTTATCTTACTGAACTGCACCAAAACAGAACTTTAGTTTGCATGCTGTCCTCACCTACACACTGTGGTGAAGCGCTCCATTTTCCCAGGTGGCATGTTATCCCATCTTCTTTGGATAATTTGAAACCATCCTTACAAATATAACTTAATGTGGTGCCATGCGCATATAGCTTGGGTTCCAATGTTTCTCTGGGAGAATTAATGCTTCCATGTTCTACATGAGGCGGTTGAGAACACAGAGTGTTTTCTATATGAAAAATAAAGCTTCA